GCAGAATAAAGAGCCTCAAAACAGATCCACGTATATGTAGGTAATTGATATTGGACAAAGGTGGGAATGCAGAGTTGTTGAGAAATGACCAATAAAAGGCACTGTGCCAATTGGGTATCTATAAAAAATCCCTGCCGCAACACATAAAAATCAATTTCAAAGTGGATTAAACATATAAACATGAAACATAAAAACTTACACCTCTGAAAAGGAGAATAGGTGAATATTTATTTTCATGACCCCAAGTAAGGAAATATTTTTTAAAACAGTAACAAAAAGTACCAATGACAAAGGAGAAGGCAACAATAAAAAGGAAGAAACTATTAACTATGTTAAAATTAAGAACTTTATTCACTAAAGATATTATGAAGAGAATGAAAAGACAAGTGACAGGGGTGGAGGATGAGATATTCACAACTAACAGATAAAACCTTGTCAAAACCACAGTAAGACACCACTACACATCCGATAGAATGGCAAAACTTTAAGAATCTATTGGTATGTATGTGGAGCAACAGAAACTCATATGCTGCTAGTGGGAGGGTAAACTGATGGGCCACTTGGAAAGATGTCTTATATTATCTAGTAAAGTTGAGGAGGACAAGGGTTAGTGTATGACTCCGAAATTTAACTCTTAGTGTATACCCCAAGAAAGTTGATAAATAAACTGTCATATTTTCATTCAGGAATATTGTAGGCGGCTGAGCAGCTAAAAACTAGAAAAGGTCACTGTACAGTGATCTGTGCAGAGACACCGGTCCTCCTTAAAGTGAGAGCGTGGCAGTCCAGGAGGCCTGAGAAGAAAATTAAATATAGTTCTCAAGATCCAATCAGAGCAATGGCAGGGAGTGTTTGGGCATGTGTCAACATGTAGCAGACATGTGGTAGGCTCTTTTAGGATAACTCTACCTCCCACAACCATTTGGTAAAGTAGGAATTATTTTGTAGGTAAAGAAACTGAGGAACAGAAAGGTTAAATGACTTGCCTGAGGTCACCCAGATAGTGGATGGCAGAAGCGGAGTTTTAAAACCATGCATCAGAGACTTCCCTGGTGGCCCAGTGGTTAAGACTCCTTGATTCTAATACAGCAGGCATAGGATCAATCCCTGGTCTGGAATCTAAGATCCCTCACATGCCACGTAATTTGGCCAAAAACAAACAACAACCGGAAAAAAAAAAAAAAACCACAAGCATCAAGCCCCACAATCTCTCCATTTAAGTAGAAACTGGTGGTTGCCTGGCAACAAGCATTCACTGCCTCTCCTTTCTTTCAGAGCCCTGATTTGATTCTTTCAAAGCCATCATGATTTTGTCATGATGTACTCCCACCTTTCTGCTGTCCCCTAGGGGTGGCAGAGCAAAAGACAGAACAAGTCTGGGCCCCTGACGACTGGAGAGCAGAGGTGTCCTGCCAGATCAGTTTTTGCTTCCTTTCATTTATTTTTTTCCTTATTTTAGGTTGGAAAACAACTCTCAAAGGCAAAATGCTTTGAGAACTGTTAAAGCTCTTGAATTAAGAAGGAAATGCAGTTTCAAGGCACTCTTTCCATTTCCTTCCAAACATATGCTGCAAGAGTATCAGAACCCAAATCAGAACTATAGCATATACTGCACGATGCATGACAGGGCTGGTGGACATGGCCTGCAGAGGAACACCAAGCAGGAGGGCCTGCACGCGCAAAAAGCCTGCACAGGCAGTGTTTGTCTATTTTTAAAAATATTTATATGTGTATTTGGCTGCGTTGGGTCTTGGTTGAGGCACATGGGATCTTCACTGTGGTGTGAGGGCTCTCTCGTTGTGGTGCCTGGGCTCCGTAACTGCAGCACGGGTGCCTAGTTGCCCCATGGCATGTGGAATCTTAGTTCCCCGCCAGGGATCAGACCTGAGTCCCCTGCATTGGAAAGCAGATTCTTAACCCCTAGACCACCAAGGAAGTCCCCAGGCAGTGTGATGGCAGTATTCCAGGGAGCCTGAGGTGTCCAGAGAGCACCGTGGGACCAGCCCGTGCTTCACCTGCCTGCTGACTAGTTTGCCCTGTGAAGCTCTTGGGTCCCTGCCAGACAGAAGCACTGCAGCTCCCACTTTCCCCTGCTCAGCACTCTCTCCGAGCAGTTCATCCTGAAGTGCAAATGTAGGACCACTGCACCGTTACATCCCCACACGCTAAGAAGTTCCCAATCCAGCAGCAAGGTTTGGTCACTGGCAAGGAGCCGGCATACCTCTCTTCACTGCTTGGCTGCCACCATTCTTGTCACCCAGCTCCTGTGCCTCCAAGCGTGCCGCCTCGCCCCATGCAGCAGCCCATCCTCTGTTTTGCTAGCTTCCTGCTGATGCAGCTTAGGGAGGAGGATGTCTGACAGCCTGAGAGCTCTGGCTCCAGACACAAAGCCTGCTTTCTTCGGATCCCAGGATCCTTTATTCCTTCTTTTTTGTCTCTTGAGAGTTTTCTATAACCATCAAAGCTGTGCTCTGATGCTGGCCTTTGGGTGTGACCTGTGTTGGGTGATGTCCCCAGCATCAGCAAAGGCCTTGACACAGAATGGACTTCAGCAAGCACTTTAGATCAAACCCTAGAGGCTTAAAACTATGGGAAAAGTGGGTTATCCCAGCTTTCATGAGGCCTGTTTGGTCCTACTTTAGTTTCTATTCCAAAAGTGGGAAAAAACTTGCTTCTTAAAACCCTTCAGGTCACATGGATTATGTGTTGACTGGTGTTTATGTCAAGGCTAAAGACTGTGTGCATGTGTTAGTCGCTCAGCTGTGTTCGACTCTTTGTGACCTCATGGACTGCAGTCCTCCAGGCTCTTCTGTCCCTGGGATTCTCCAGGCAAGAACACTGGAGTGGGTTGTCATTCCCTTCTCCAGGGGATCTTCCCAACCCAGGGATCAAACCAGGTCTCTCACACTGTAGGCAGAGTCTTTACCCTCTGGGCCATCAAGGAAGACCTTGCCTTAAGCTAATTTGGGACTGACAGGACTCTGCTAACTCCTTATATAAATATGAGATCTGCTCCTTGGCCTTCCCGGTCAGCGTCTTGGGTGGGACACCTGTAGCCTCTGTCTGCCTCTGAACTTTCAGAAATAAAGTTGCTTTTTGCTCTCATTTCAAGGTCCTCAGAGAGATAACCAATAACAAAGGCCATGTCTGGAAGCAGTTTGGGTTGGGGGAGGGGTGCCTTGAGGCTTGTACAGTCCTTTTCTCTTTGTTCAGCACGGGCAGCCCCACCTATCCACTTAGGGCTGTTTTGTATAACTGCCCCCATAAATCTAACTTCAAGAAAAACAATTGACTTGTAAAGCATTCCAGAATCATTAAACAGATAGATGATCAAATCTGAAATGACTATTGCTCACTAATGAAATCTTTCAAGAGGAACTGTCGTACGGAGAACACTGAATGCCTGCCCCTGACCCCCTAGTGAGCAGCAGAAGGAATCAAGCCCCCTGTGACTGCTATGAGACCAGAAGCCACAACAGGCTCCACCATGACGGGCAACGCTCACTCATGTTCTTCAATTCCTGCAGCTCCTGCCTCTGATTCTCAGTTAGAATTAGGGGAGCAGCATGTCCCACCTCATCTCCACCCACAGTGCAAACTGACACTGAACGACCAACCAATAGGAGCCACAGAGCATCTCTAGCTTGCTGCTGTTGCCCAGAGTATTAGCACCCTGTTTGGACTTTTTTTTTTTTTGGCTGCACCTCACGGAATGTGGGATCTTAGTTCTCCAATCAGGGATCCAATCCAAGCCCCCTGCATTGTGAAGCTCAGAGTCTTAACCACTGAACCGCCAAGGAAGTNGCTCAGCTAGTAAAGAATCTGCCTGCAACACAGGAGATCGGGATTCGATCCCTGGGTAGGGAAGATCCCCTGGAGAAGGGAATGGCTACCCACTCCAGTATTCTTGCCTGGGAAATGCCATGGACAGAGGAGCCTGGTAGGCCTCAATTCATGGAGTCACAGAGTCAGACATCGCTGAGCAACTAACACTTTCACTTTCAATAAAAAAATGTATTTTAAAAAATTAATTAAATTTTAAAAAGAAGTGGCAATTCTGTTTTGGCCTTTTTTGTATTTTATAGTTCATAATTTGCCTGACTCCCCAAGTATGCAGTTATTTTTAGTCCCTCATAGTTTCTTTGTAAACTGCTTCTCCAGGAGGAGGGGAGGAGACATTTGTTCAGGTAAAAACACTGTAGGAAAGGGTCCCAGATTCCAGCCTGTCTCAGTTTTGCCTCTGTGAGTAAAGCTCAAATTCTAGTATGATATATTTGAAAGTTGCTAATAGAGTAGATCTTAAAAGTCCTACAAGAAAAAAAAAATTGTTATGTAGGTGATAAATGTTCACTAAACTTATTGTGGTAATCATTGCACAAAATGTATATGTAATACACCTTAAACTTGTACAATGTTATATGTCAATTATATCTCAATAAAACTAGAGGAGGGGAAAGTTCTGGCAAGCCTAGGAAAAAGCAAAAGAATTCAGTACAAAGTGCTGGCAGCTTAGCAAGTCTCCTGGGAGCCAGAAGGGAAGGCCCCAGGTGGCTTTATTTTTACATCACTTTTCCTCTTCCTCTAAGCTTGTTTGCTCCATGGTCTTCCCACAGTTCAGCTTCCTCAGCTGCCCCCTAAAACTCCACCTTGGGAATATATTTAACTGGCCCTATCTAACCTTCAACATTATGTGACCTTGCAGGTCCACAACCCAAACCAACTAGCTACAGACTCTTGACTCTTGGCTCAAATTCTCAGTGGAGAGACGTAGTCTCTGGCCAGTCAGTGAATTCACTGCTTTTGAATTACGTGCTGGTTCAGTCACTTATAGGGTGGTAGGAAAACCTGCTCACTGGGGGTCATGTGGGGGAGCAGTTTCTCTGGGAACTAACTGACATGTCTCCCTGAGGTGAGAGAAGGGACAGGTAACTCTAGTGAAGACAGCTTCACACAGATCTCACTGGCTCCTTTCTTTTCTGTAATATCCCAGATCTCTTCCTGTGTGAACATCTCCTTTGAAAGGAATGTTATGGTCAGGTGGGCTGGGTGGGGTGAAACAGGGAGGGTAGATGACCAGGATAGGGAAATGCTGGGGGAAATGAAGCCAAATGCCCAACATCAAAGCTAGAGAAATAAAGAACCACTGCCAAGTCCAAAGGTCAGGAGCAGAATGGAAAATCGGACACAGAGCCAAGGTCAGGAGCCAGCAGAACTGGAAAAATGGAAACCATCCAGCAACAAGACCAGGCCTGGCAAGACGACTGCTGAGAATGAGCTGGCAGCAAGCCTAGCTTCACTGGCTCTCAACGGAGGCTCACACACAGAAGAGTCATAGTGAAGACAGGGTCTGCTGGGTTTAAGTCATGTTACCAAGGGAGACGAGGAGAAACCAGGGTTTCTTAACGCAGGGCCCAAACCCCTTGTGTTGTACACAAGACTGTGCATTTGTGCATGTTCTGAGGTTGTTAAAGGGAACAGCGCCCCCAAGGGTTATTTTAAGGTTCGAAGCTGATCATCCAGCGAGGACAATCCCTGCGGACTCCCCTCAGTCAGGGCAAACGCCCCCAAACAGCTGCAGGTCTCGGTCACCCTCCAAAGGGACAGAATCCCCCTTGCCACTCGTGTCCCCAAGGGTTCAAGGCAGCGCTGCTGCCATCGTATTCCTCTGGGGAGCGCCAAGCCCCGGGTCTGAAAGACGGTGAGCTTAGTTAACAATGGAGGATGGACAGACTGGCAGAGGGACAGATTAAAACAGGGCGAGTGCGATTTGTGCCCCTCTGAGGAACTGCTGGTTCAGCTCAAATTGGAACAACGACCGGTAGACTGACACGCGGTCCACCCGCTTCTTCAAAATCGGTCTGGTTCATCCTACTAGGAAAACAAACGGATCCTTGCCTCTCTATTTTTGGGTACGGATGGAGTTCTGGGAAAGGGTACAGCGCCTGGACAGACATTATGGCCTTTGTCCAACCTCCCTCAGAGCCTCAAAACCGCGCGCGCCCCCAAGAGCCAAGATTCCTACCAAGGAACAGGAGTCTCCGCCCCTCTCTTACGTCTACCGCCCCGCCGCGCCCCGCCCATCCGAGGGACCACGGCGCGCAGGCGTGACGTGGCGCGGGAGTCTACGTCGGCGCGTGCTGAGCCCGGAAGAGGTGAGGGCCGGGCAAGGAGGTGTTCTCTGTCGCTTCCACGCCTCTGTCTCCATGGCGCTGTGGCGTGGCTCCGCGTACGCTGGCTTCCTGGCGCTCGCGGTGGGCTGCGTCTTCCTGCTGGAACCGCAGCTGCCGGGGTCGGCCCTGCGCTCTCTGTGGAGTTCGCTGCAGCTGGGGCCGGCGCCCGCACCCCCAGGAGCCGGCTCCCCTGAGGGTCGGTTGGCAGCCGCCTGGGACGCGCTCATCGTGCGGCCGGCTCGGCGTTGGCGCCGCGTGGCCGTGGGGTGAGTGCCTGCGGGGCCTGCCTCTCTGTTTGTCTCCAGGAGGTGCGGGTGCCCCGGACCTCTGAGGGCCGCCTTGGCGGAGGTCTGACGGCTTGGGAGCTGGGGGGTAGAGCCGGCGGGGAAGCAGGTCCCTAGAGGTCCCCTGGAGGCCCCTCGGTGCTGTTGTCCACGCCACCTGCTTGGCGAGAAGCGACGCACGTCTGGGACGAGCCCCACTCGTCACTGCTGCCGGGACTCACCAGACTGCTTTTTCCTCTCGGCTGGCCCCTACACCCTCCTCGTCTCGGTAGGACCAGCCCCCAGAACCAGCCTAATAGCCTCTTGGAAATCCCGCTCAGCCTGACTCCGTAAAGTTCAGGTCGCTTTCATTCCAATCTCTGCTCTTCTGAAGGCAATCAGAAATGTTTGGTCTTTCCATTTTAGTGGCACCCTCTTGCTTCTGAACTACTTGAAGGTGTGGTCGCTGTCTTTAGCTCCTGAGTTTCTTTCTTTACGCCTTGTTTTCGCTTCCTTAATGCCATAGTCTGGAGACCACCATTCTACTGAAACGTCTCTCTGAAAGCTTATCAAAGCTTTGTGGGTTTTCATAATCAGCTTCCACTTTCAGTCTTCACTGTCAGCTCTCTGCAGCCTTCCACACGTTAAGCATGCCTTCTCCTTGAAACTCTTTTCTTCCCCAGATTTCAATGACATTGCAATTTTAGGATTCTCACAAATCACAGTGCCTCCTATTTTTATATTCTCCTGTCTCGTGTAAGTAAGTTATTCCCTCTACGAATTTTAGTTCTTGTCTAAGTTCGACTGGAATATCTTGCCACAAAAGCAGATCTTCTACCAAGTACGCTACTAGTTCCTGTGAGTATCGGAACCATAAAGGGTAAGGTAAAGCAGAGTTATCATGAAGATTAAATAATCTTTGTTATTTAGCATAGTGTCTGCTTTAAAGAGCAGACAGCTAATGTTAGGTAGTAGTTTATATATATATATATATATATATATATGTTAACACTTTTATTGTTTCTTCAGGTGCATTTTCTTTTAACTCTTCTTTCAAATTCAGGCACTTTCACCTGTATCCTTATCAGCTGAATTGTCCTCCCTGGTTTTGTGAGTCTTCAGTCAATTCATGGGCTTTCCAGGTGATGCAGTGGTAAAGAATCTGTCTACCAATGCAGGAGATGCAAGAGACATGGGTTCGATCCCTGGGTTGTGTAGATCCCCTGGAGCCATTCTAGCTTGGCAAATCCCAGGGACAGAGGAACCTGGTGGGCTACAGTCTGTGGGATTGCCAAGAGTCAGACATTACTAAGCACACACTTTGAATAAATATTCATTAACTGCATGGTATGCGGTAGGTCCATGCTAAGTTCTGAGGATCCAGGGATGGATGAAGCAAGGTCCCAGCCTCATTTTTTGGAAACAAATATGTTCATTATTGTATTAGTCCACTTAGGCTGCCGTAACAGAGGACCACAGACTGGGGGCTTTTTAAACAGCAGACATTCATTTTCTCACAGTTCTCCAGGCTGATAATCCAAGAGGAAGTCCTCTCTCTCAGACTTGCCAGTGGCTGCCTTCGCGCTGTGTACTCAGATGGCCTTTCCGTTCTTGAGCACTTCGGGTGTCTCCTCCTCTTAAACTGACAGTAGTCCTATTGGGTCATGGCTGTGCATGCGCACTCAGTCACGTCGGACTCTGTCACCCCAGGGGCTGTTGCTCACCGGTCTCCTCTGTCCAGGCAAGAGGACTGAATTGCCATTTCCTGCTCCAAGGCATCTTCCTAGCCCAGGGATCGAGCCCTCATCTCCTTTGTCTCCAGCACTGGCAGGCAATTTTTTTTTTTTTTAACCAGTGCACCACTTGGGAATCCTGGATAATGGCCTCATTTAACCTCAATTACTTCCTTAAGTAGTCCCTATCTCCACATACGGTCACATTTGTGGTTAGGGCTTCAATATGAATGGGGGGGTGGGGTGGGGGAGAGGGACACAATGCTGTCCATAACAATTGTGAAAAGTGCTTTCTTGTGTCCCAGAGAATAACTAGTAATTCTTCCCAGGATGAGGTTTCAAGAGAAGCTCCATCTAGAAGCTGACAGTCCATTTACTATTGCTACATCACACATTACCCCACAACTTAGCTTAAACCAGTGGCCATTTTATTCCATGATTCTGAGGTTCAGTTGGGCTCGGCTAGGCGATTCTCATTTGGGGTTTCATGCAGTTTCAGGAAGGTGATGGCTGTACCTGGGATCATCTCAAGGTGTTGACTGTTGTCAGCTGTGACCTCAGTCGTGGTTTTACCTGAACACATGCAGGTGGTTTCTCTTTGTAACTATTTAGCTTCCTCACCTCAGGATGACTGGACTAGGGGAGGGATTCACCACAGGGACCAGGTAGTAGTATTAATGCCTTTTATGACCTAACCTTAAAAGCACACAGTGTCACTTCTCATAGGCCCAGGTCCAAGTGGTTTTGAGGAGAGGGGACCTAGAACGCACCTGGGAGGGAGGAGCGTCAGCCTCTCATTGTGAAATGAACATGTGGGAGGGGGCACGTGTGGCCATCTTGTAAAATACATTCTGCTACAGTGACTTGCATGGGTCAGGCCCTGGAGAAAAAAAGAATTTATCCACAAGAAGGCTGGGAAATAAGTCCCCCTGGGAAGAGAGAACCAAATGTGAAAAAGGTATTTGGCTTGTTTGGCAATAGCGGGTTGGTCCTGTGTTTAGGGCAAGGACTTTATGATAGATGTCGAGATGATACTGAAAGGAGCCTTGTGTGTCAGTGTGGGTGATGGGAAACCCATAAAAGTTTATGAGCAGGTACAGTCCATGGAGTCGCAAAGAGCTGGACACAACTGAGCGTGAATGGGCGTGCACACACACAAATGATGCTAAGTTCTTTTCACAGACTTAACTGGAGGATTGGAAAATTTGAGCAGTGGTTCTGACCTGTTTGACTACTTCACATTATTTTTGTGGGTAACAGACTAATAAAGAGGAAAGTCTTGAGACCCTGACACTAGCTGAAGCCGTAGAGCTTTTTCTTGTTTGCCATTGGTGCTAAACAGGTGAGACTTGACAAGAGGTTAGATGTGGTAGAGTAAATAGAGGCAGTTGCAAATGACAGGTTCTTAGTATTGGGGATCTTATAACTTCATGTAGGCAGATACAGATATTGTCAAGCTTTCCTGGTGGCTCAGTGGTAAAGAACCTGCCTGCAATGCAGGAGATGTGGGTTCAGTCCCTGGAGAAGGAAATGGCAACCCACTCCAGTATACTTGCCTGGGAAATCCCATGGACAGAGGAACCTGGTGGGCTACAGTCCATGGGGTCGCACAGGAGTCAGACACGACTTAGCAACTAAAGCAACAATAAATATTGTCATCCAGTTTTCACAGAGAGTGAACTGGGGCTTGGAAATACTGATTTGCCCATGATCTCACAGTTGTCAATGCCAGAGGTGCACCTTAAACCCATTTGTGGCTCTATGTGCCACCTTGTTGCCATGAAGAGAGATTAAGAAAGGAACAAGTTTGTGGTGAAGGGTAACCAGTTTGGTTTCAGAGGGGAGAAATGTACATTCCTATAGGATTATAGAGGAAGCTGAGCCCTCAGCTACTGACAGCTAGAGGCTGTAGCTGAGGAGCATGGTCGCAGTTTAGGGACTCCAGCACCTAGATTGAGGCCAGAGGCTAGATAGCATCACCCAGGAAGAGAACAAGAAGGGAAGGTAAATGGCAAGGGTGGGATGAGGGGCAGGCACTGCCATGTAAGGGCCTGGTGGGAAAGGACCAGAGAAATAAAGGAATGGTTTTAAGAAGATGGTCAATGGCAAGCCCACAGCCACATTTTTCTAAAATGTATGCTGCCTCTGCTCAGAATCGGGCTCTGGTCCTAAGACTTGTTGGGTGCATGATAAACCCCTCGTTTTAGCACTCATTCTCCCTCACCTGGCTTCACTCTGACCTTTGAAACCTGCCTTGCTCTTCTCGGACCATGTTCAGACTCTCCTAACTGGATCACCATTCCTGTTGTATCCAGACACAAGGTTAATCCCTTCTGCATCTTTGCTTGTGCGTGCTCCTTGTGGCTTTCAATATCAGATAAATCTGGGTTTGAATGTAGGCTCCTCCAGTCTTGACCTTGGAATGTTAGTTAACCCCCAGCCTTACTTTTCTCAGCTGAAAGGAGTGATGACTACTTCCCTGTCTTAAAATGTTTTGCAGATTGGTGTGGTCTGTCTGAAAATGCCTGCCTTTTTCTCTGTCCAGAGTATCATGTAGGGTGTGGCCCAAGGACTACTGATCCTGCCCTCTTGGGTTTCTCCTCTCTGTGGTTCTGTATCTTAGAGTGATTATGATTAGCTTTCATTCTATCTCAGGCATAGTGTGAAAGCTGAAAAGAACCTTAAGAAACGTTTTACAGATGATAAAACAGAAGGGAGGTGATAAGAACCCCGTTCTTGTCTTTAAGGAATTTACAGACTAGAAGAAACTATTCCTCTTTCCCGCCCCAACCCCAGATCTCTAATAATATGCCTGGCAGCCTTGGCTCCCAGCGCCCTCTGCTAGCACCACCACTTGTATAGGCATTCAGCATCTGTTCCCTCATTTTACCTTCAATTATTTTATCTGTGTCTGTGTTTTCTCAAAACTCACATTGTAATCTTTGATACATTTCTGTGAAATTCTGCATAAGTGTCAAATGAACATAATTTTGTCTTCTGGTTTTTTGCTCCACCTTGACCACCCCCCCGACCACCACCACACACACACATACACACACTTCTTTTCCCTATAAGTAGCATGCTTATTTACATTTTAGTATGCTGCTGAATTGATGTAAGTGCAGAGAAAGATTCCTGTTCTGTTTGAAGTATTATAACATATAATTAGAAAGCAGAGGTAAAAGTACTTCGGTATCTGGCACATAGTAGGGCACAATGATTTTCTTTTAATAGCTATCATGTAGATTTTTTCTTAAGATTTTCTCCTTTAGTGTTCATGGTATGACTAGGTGGGGGATGGAAAATGTTTCTATGGTAGTTATATTGTTTTAACTCAAAATTAGTTCAGTTGGGTTTTGTCTTGTGCTGCAAAATGTGCTAAATAAACTGTTCTTTTTGGTTTTGTTTTTTGTAACTGGAACTTCCTCCATTCTCATCTTTAAGAAATCAAACTCTCCTTAAGTTCTCAGCATAACTAGATATGGAAGTGATGTGTTTATTGACGTCTATTTTGAAGTCGTTATTTCCAAATATGGGTACATCCCTTGGTATCTGAACCTTTGCTATGCAGACTCAGGACCCAAATCCATTTAGTTACTTCATGGAAATAATGTCCCACACTATCCAGACTTTCACTGTCTGAACTTTGGGAGCCTTCCGGAGTCTGAGAGCCAGGGATACCTGTATTCCTTTTAAGCTTCTACCCTTCAGACATCTAATGTGACGTGCAGTAGAAATAAAGGACACTCCGTGTGAGGCAGCATTGAGACCAGTTTACAAGGTGTGTTGGTTCGTATCATGTAGCCTGTGAAAGGAATATCTTATGTGAGTAAGAACCTGCCACATGCATGTCAGTGTGTTTTATGTGCTTTGTATGAAAGGTATACTTACTCTTAGGTTATACTTTCCCAGTTGATCAGAGTAATTATGTATGTTTGACTTTAAAAGAATAAGACCATTCGAGTATTTAAATGCTGTATGGTAGGCAAAAACCTTTTCAAAAATTTGGGATTCATAGGGGAAGAGTTAATAATAGAGTCTTAACGAGAATGTAGTCAGTTTTGTGTTGTGAGGAGGGCTGTGTCTCTTCCGGCGCTTGTAAACCTCCCTTGAGTGATGTAAATACTATCTAGCCCACATGAGGACCTTTTAAGAATTATTTGTTCAGTTCTAAAAGTGACGTATGCTCATAAATATTAAAACTGCATCTGATGAAAAATAAAATTCCTCTCCCTTACTGCAGTCTCTCTCCTCATCTTTAGAGCTGGCTGCCATTAACGACTTGGTGATCAAGAGACTTTTAAAGGAGAGTAGAAGGGAGACATTGTAGTTATATATTATACACCAGAATCCAATCCATTGGGCCTTGTTGGTTGATGAATTTACCTCTGGTTTCATGAAGAGTGAAAGTGAAGTCACTCAGTTGTGTCTGATTCTTTGTGACTCCATGGACTGTAGCCTGTCAGGTTCCTCCCTCCATGGGATTTTCTAGGCAAGAATACTGGAGTGGGGTGCCATTTCCTTCTCCAGGGGATCTTCCCGACCCAGACTCTTTACCATCTGAGCTACCAGGGAAGCACACAGCTTCTGGTTTCCTAACTACTTGGAACTAGCCTGGATGGGCAGCCACCCTTTTCACCCAAAGCTGTTTCATTTGGTCATCCAACCCTACTGGCAGGGATGGCAGAGGCAGGAATAAAGGTGCCCAGGGACCTCATCCCCCTGCCCAAAGTATTTGGAACTTCTTTTTTAGAAAGGAATGGCTTTTGGAAAACACACACACACAAACCACTGAAAATGTAAGCCACAGCTTCTACATGCATGCATGCATGGGAGAGGTGGGGCCAGACAGCCTCATGTGTATTTTATAAATCTGTAAGCATTAACCAGGTGACACCACACTGACTGACTAGTCTGTAAAGTCCATGATGATGAACACCTGCCAGGTGTTGAGTTGTTACAAGGCTGCAGGTGCGCTTAGGTCTTTAAGACATCACTCAGCGCTCAGAGTTTCACCTGGAAGTAGTGTATTTTACCACCATCCTCAGGTGTCTTTTAAGGGAAGGTGGCTTTTGACAAAAACTTTTACTTTGCTTTCTCTGTAACAAGCAGTGTTCCTAAACATGTATTATCTTATTTAATCTTCACAATGGCCCTATGAGTTAAATACTCATATTACACGATTTTAGAGAGGAGGAAACTGAAGACAAAGAAATTAAAGTGACTTGGCCAGGTCACACAGCCAGGGTTAATCCAAACAGTTTGGCTCTGCCATTATTTTCTCAGAAATGGTGTATTTGTGTTATGATACTTTGTTCTGAAATGCTGAGCACCTGTCTTCTTGCTTTGTGATGAGTGTAAAAGTTTACCAAGCTCTTGCCAGGATAAGACATACATATCCAGATAAAGTAATCCTCCTTCCACCATATGCTATTTGCTTTCCAGGTCAGGTTTCTGAAACATTTCCCTGTTGTTAAATGTAAAGCTGTAGTCCCAGTGTTTTGGTTTCTCTCACACCATCTCTTCCTTCCTTCCTTGCAGCGTCAATGCATGTGTAGACGTAGTGCTGTCAGGGGTGAAGCTCTTGCGGGCACTTGGCTTGAGCCCTGGGAATGGGAAAGATCACAGCGAGCTGCGTTCGAGGAATGATCTAGAAGAAGCCTTCGTTCACTTCATGGGGAAGGGAGCAGCTGCTGAACGCTTCTTCAGTGATAAGGAAACTTTCCATGACATCGCCCAGATTGCATCAGAGTTCCCGGAAGCCCAGGTCTGTCTACCAGTGGTAAATTAAGATAGGGTGGGAAAAGACACTTTGTATGGTTTCTAGAAGCAACCGAGCAACTCTTCTCCAGTTCACCCATAGCGGGTAATTGTTGGCAATACAATTCTGTAGTGTTTTCTCTTTTTGGAAAAGTGTGTATCTGACCTTCCCTTAACTCTGCTGTTGCTAGTCATTTCAATTCAGCCAACATTAATGAGGCATACTTACTAAAATTTTAGTCCTGGGTTATCCATGAAATTGCTCTTTTTTCATGTTACTCAGGTTTAAAGTAGGAAAATGTCTACTCCAGAGTTGTTTGGGTACTGCTTGGCTGATACCTTGCAGTAATATTAATTTGGCTCAGTTCTTCCTAAACCAAAAAAGGCCAAACCCGCAGAGAAATAGTGACAGTATCACTCCCCCTTTTCCCATATTGCAACAGTCAAAAATGTCTCCCAACATGGTCAGATGTTTCCAGGGTCGGGGAGAGAAGGGATGCAAAATCACGCTGATTGAGAACCACTGGTCTAGTTTGGTGGCTCTCTGACCTGAATGTGCATCAGAGTCATGTGAAAGGTGTTGAAACACAGATTCCTGGGCCGCCCTTCCAGAGTTCTGATTCAGTACTTATGGGGTAGTCCCAAGAATTTACCCTTACAGCAAGTTTCCTGGTTATGTGGATGCTATTCTGACCACCTTGTTCTGAGAACCATTGGTCTACAGGGTAAAGACTGTCAAAGATAGAACTTAGGAGTCTCCACGCCCACCTGGTGATCGCAAACAAGGCTCTGGAGCCTACATGGTCCAGACACTTCCTCAAGGCTCACACACCTGCCAATTCCCCTGCCCTCACACCTCTTAAGGGCAGGATTTTGTTGTTTAAGCTTCTCTCTATTGCCCACTGCTTCTCATCCCCAATTTTTACCTAAATTCTTCTCTTACCCATCACCCCAGTTTGGATGTACTTCTCACTTGGGTAGCTCTTAAAAGTTTTTTTTATTCCTTTGGAAGCTACCCATTTGGACATTAGCGGTGGGCACAGGCCCTTCCCAGCTGAATTTCTCAAGGAGACAGCAAGCTGTTAAAACCTCAGTTAGTCATTTTGATAGCTGGGTTTGGTAGTGAGATTCTGATCTTTTTTTTTTCCCCTTTCTGTACACTCAGCATGGCTTGTGGGATCTCAGTCCCCCAATGCAATCCTAATCACTGGACCACCAGGGAACTCCCAAGATTCTGATCATTTATGAAATAGTCTTGATAGTTCTAACAAGATGGCAAATCTACTGCTTAAAAGTCTTTAAGATTGTAGTATTTAAAACACCAATTAAAAAAAAAACACAGCAATTTTGCTTTCTGTTCTAGTCTCTTTGGCCTTTTGTTTCATAATGCAAACATTTTTTCTACAGAAATTTTATCTTTTACATCATCTAAATTATTTCTTAACATTATAAAACCTAAAATGTGTTATTTATCTTCCACTAGTGTGGCACTTCATTTGGTACCTTGTCAAACTCCTTTAAACTATAAGGCAGATGGACTGATAAACAGTAGTTAATAATAACTAGCATATGAAAACTCTAAAATCCATTACATGGACTCTTAATGTTTCCCCTGGGATTTTTAGTAAATTCTTCTAGCCATCAGAGTTACATAAAAAACTAAGGTTAACATGTTAAAAGGGCAAATTTCAGCCTGTATATCACAAAGTTTCCAATTTATCTATAGAAAGCCATTACCACCCCATCTGAATCCAGTGATCCTTCAACACAAAACTTGGTTGGGCTAAAAGTGTTGTTGAGCATCTAGAATTGAGTTGTTTAGTCTATGCCTCTGCATGGGGCTAGGGACTAGAGAGGTAAGGTGATAGCATTCAGTCCTCCCCAACAGAGCTGCTGGTAAAGTTTCTCAGCTTATATAATAGAGCATCAGCCTTATTTCCTATTTGTCAGGTTTCCAGAGCATGTGAATCCATCCTTACCACAAAGGAATACTAGACTTGAATTCTCTGCTCTTCTCCTTTAGGTCCTCAGCTGAGAGATGTGGTGTGTCTTCTTTCAGAACCCTATACCTTTAGAATTTTACTCCCAGGAAAGCTTTTATAATTCCTGATGCATCAATGTATGTTTCTTCCTTTCTCAAAATCTAGCAGCAGTTACTGAGCACTTACTGTAAGAAGACAGTCCTTTCCTTGAAGGAGCTAGATATGTCCCCAGATGACACTAGCTCAAGAGGACAAGGGCTGTAGTGGAGGTCTGTTCTGAGTCTAGAGGTGGCAAGTAGCAAAGAATCTGTAATCCTCTCTAGAAGGAGGATTGTGGAGATGGAGGTGACCATAGGAAGATGGCAACAGAAAGCAGTACAGAGGAAGTGACATTACAGCTGATATTTGAAAAGTAATCACCCGACCAGTGAATGAGAAAGGGGAGGTATCCTAGTCAGAGAAGCAGCATGTGCTTAAAGGCATAGACACAGAGGAAAGCAGACTTGGAGAGCTATAGGCAGGTGGAAGCAGAAAGGAAGGCAGGGGACAGATAAAGACAGACCTATGTACCTCACTTAAGAGTTGGATTTTAAAACTGATTCAAGAAGATACATGCATCCCAGTGTTCACAGCAGCATTATTTACAGTTGCCAAGATAAGGAAGCAACCTTAGTGTCCATCAACAGATAAAGATGTAGTGTGTGTGCGCGTGCATGCATGTGATAGAATATTATTCAGCCATAAAAAAAGAATGAAATTTTGCCATTGTAGCAACATGAATGGACTTGGAGGGTATTTTGCTTAGTGAAATAAAGTCTGAGAAAGACAAATACTATATGATATTGCTTAGATATGTGGAATCTAAAAAAATACAACAAACTAGTGAATATAACAAAAAAGAAACAGACTCACAGATAAAGAGAACAAACTAGTGGTTATCAATGAGGAGAGGGAAAGGGGGAAGGGGCGATATAGGGGTTAGGGGATTAAGAGATACAAACTGTTAGGTATAAAATAAGCTACAGGGATATATTATACAATATGGGGAATATAGAAAATATTTTATAATAACTATAAATGGGATATAACTTTGAAAAAGTGAATCTCTACATTGTACCGTTGTAATTTATATATCAAATATACATCAGAAAAAAAATTGAGAGTTGGATTTTAGGTCATTGTAATATTGAATGATTTTCAGGAGGAAACTGACATAGTCCTACCCTCATTTTAGAAGGATCACAGTGCAGAAGATAAAGTCTGTCCATACTTGTCCTATTTCCTTTTGTTTCATTTATCTGTTCTGGCTGCCTGGAAGCTCAAGGCTAAGGTTGACCTACAGTTAAGGCAATTATACTGTTTTCCAAAGGTAGCAATTTGTTTTTTTTTTTTCACCTTTCCTTATAACTCATTGTCTCCTCATCTGTAGGGTTAATGTTTTTATTAACCCCATCTGTGTGTACTTGTTGTCACCTCAAATTTTTTGGGGGGAGAAAATGGACTATAATTAAATCAAAACATTATTAAGCTTGAGTAGCATAGTTATGCTAAAAAACTGCCTAATAGCACTAAACTGTCTTACAGCACTATGTAGGAGGAAATGCAGCTTTAATTGGACAGAAGTTTGCAGCCAACTCAGATTTAAAGGTAAGTCAGATTCCCAGATTAAAACCTATGTCCTTCACTAGTATTTCAGTAATTTTAGGGGCAATACTGAGTACCTGTCTGTTCCTTGATTCAGCTTGCCTGGGACTCTTGTTAGGAATATAGTCATCGAAGGAGAGGAGTGGTAGCTAATGATTTCTAAGTGTTTACTGCATGTCTGATGTTGTCTCCAGTGTGTGATGCAGATTACCTCATTTAATCCCTGCAATAACCTATAAGGTCATAGGTACTGTTGTCATGCTTTCTACGTGAAGCTTGAGACATAGAGAGGTTTATAGCTAGAACAACTGTATTGAACAAATAAAACAGTTGTAACCTAGGACCCCAGAGTCCATGTCCTCAAATACCTTACTATGTAATCATTAAGAGCGTGTGGGATCTGGAGTCAGTGCCTGAGGCTGGGGATTGTGCAGTGATGAGAAAAGACTTAGTTGACTGATTCTTGAGGCTGGATCCAGAGTGTTAAAGGCCACTGGATGGGGGTTGTTAGGGTCATGTCTTTAAGTCTTAAATCATTTGGTTTAAATAGAATTAAAATTACTGCTATTTTCAAAATAGCTTCTGAGTAAGAAGTTCTTTTGCTGCAAGTGGAATAGGTCTGAGAGGGGAAGCCAGCAAGGAGGTTATTGCTGTTGTCTTGTAAAAGCAGTCATTTTACAGCAAGACTACAGCACTAACCTCCTTGCTGGCTTTGGCTCGAGTAACCAGAAGAGGAGAAGCATGTCTATCTAAAGCCTAGTGGGATCACTTGGTGACAGACCATATGTAGGGACAAAGAAGGTAAGTTTAACAGAGATGGTTCTGAAGTAAGTGAACTTGAGAAGTGCAGAATAGATGTGACTACTGACGATGGAGAGAGGGAACCAACAGTTCTTAGGGGTGCGGAATCAAAAGTGCACGGACCCAGAAACACAGATAAATGATCAACAGTTTGAGGGGACAAAATTCATATGGACCCAGAGCATACACCAAGGGATGGATGTACTTAGATATAGAGAGCATCTTAAAGTATGGACATTCACATTTTTATAAGGATTAAAGTTTTCATAAAAGATGACAGTGGGAAATTTTTTTAGAGTCATTATCTTTATAGATAGTAATAAACTCCCAAAAGAAGAATATTAGAAGTTCCAGAGCTGATCTTTAGAAGTATTGCCAGCTAATGGATGGAAGAGAAGATCAATCATAAGCTCATTGGAGAGAACCCAGGCCCTTTGCATCAGAATCCTGGGCATTTGATTGGGTCCCTAAAAGAACACCCTCTTGACCCTGAGAAGTAATTTAATTCTGTCCCTGGAAGTTCTAGGTTAGATGTTCCTTTCAGTATTTCCTCCTCTGAGACCAGTATTTGCTGTTAGTCACTGGAGAAGCTGACCCTGAGACCAGTCCAATTGGAAAGTATTCTGGTAAGAAAAGGGGGAAGGGAATAAAAAAAAAGTCTGACCTTAGTAAAAGATTGAGGAAAAGAAAAGGGTATCTGTTACTCCTTCATCAGATTGTTACAGTCTTCACAATAATCTGATGAATTTAGGTATTACCATCCTTTTAAAGAAAGGAGGTCCAGAGCGGTTAAGTAATGTGCCCAGGGTCACCCAGCTGATGGTGGGCGATAAAATAATAAAGCCAGGATTCAAACACCAGGCTCTGCCTTGACCTCACCACCCTATACTTCTATCTCAGATTCAATTTAACTTGCTGAAATGCCTCTCA